ATGCAGGCTGAAGGTTATGTTGTAGTAGTGTGCTACCAGTTACTCAAGATAAAGGAAAACACATGACTAATACAGTGGCGCTTCTGAATATACAGCATGGGCTTGCCTTGGGTTATTTGCGCTACATGGCACACACATTTAGACTCGTGCTTACTGTCTACTTGACTGACGTGCACACGTCCTTGTGAATGTTTGAAGGTCTTTCTTTTCAATACCTTTTTAATGACAGGTCGAGTGACAATGGTCTTGTATGTTGATCACAATTCACTTGTTTAAGCCTATCACATGTTCACCACAATCTTTAAATGTTGTGCATGTGGTTGGCAGGTGCAGGTGTTACGATATCAACAATGTTCTGTACACTAGTGTCTTCAAAATCAACAGGTGTGCAAGTGCTCAATACAGCTGTTTACACCATAGCCTTGTCATTTCAATACCAAAATTATAATGCGACCATTACTAGCAATTGATTTATAAAGACCGATTTAAAAGGGATTTGATTTGAAAAGAAGTTGAATGTGCCTCGTCAAATATTGACCTGTATAGCAAACAAAAGTTGACACTTGCACTACGAGGACGTGAGAAACACGTGGTTGAATCCACCAACTTGAGTGTCCCTCTGTATATAGACACAATATAATATACCACAAGCAGACCCTTGAAATACGCTATAGATACACGTTACTCTTTACATTCAACATTGGTAAAATGCATTCATTGTTGATAACAAAAGGGACGTGATTTGTCCACAGCTGTGCATTGAACTTTTCACTTCGATCATAAAAGAATAAGTATATGGTGTCTGGTGCAGTTGTTAGGCTTTCAGGAATGTTGTTTTCATTGATAGTCTGCTATTCAAACACGAGAAAGGTGTTCAAATCGCATTCAAACTAATATGATCTTCTTTACGCCTAGAACTGTTCAACTTTTGCTAAATGTTTATCTGCATGATTATTTGTTGTTAACCATGTTCACCAGTCATCTGGGGTGTTGGAGTTTGCTGTGTAGCATTACGTCTCGGAGAATACTATGACCATGGACCATACCAATGGTTGTGTGTAACACATGAGTGATAAACATTAAGACCTGTACCATTTGGGGCTTTATTCACACATCGAGCTTCAGTGCAGTGATATAACTGAGCTGGGCCAGACACTGGAAGATTAGTGAACAAGACCCATTCATGTCACTGGTAGAGTGATTTGGATCATGCCTTGAAGTATAAACGAATGATTCACAGATTGTTGGGGCAAGACCCTTCAAGTCATCTCAAACGTTCATTTTTCTTACACACAGCCCTCTCGCCTACTATTTTTGTTGACACTCCTACACTACCACAACAAACGGCTCTGTTGATCGTCATGTAACACCAAGCCCTTTCTTGTTCTTCTCAAAATACAGTAAACTACGTTTATAACGAACACGCTTATAACGAACTGACCGATATAACAAACTTATTTTTTAGTCCCCACCATTTGTTGTATTAATGTTGTACATATGCTTATAACGAACCAAGGTTATTACGAACTAAAATTAGTGGTCACTCCGAGTCAGTTTTAACCGTAGTTTGCATACTACCTTTCAGTCATATGAGGAAAGGTCAAACAAGCAATGCACACAAGATGATAAAGGCAACTCAACGTGTGGTGATGTAAAGAGACAAGCGGACAAAGGCAACTCTACTTCTTAGTTTACTGTATTACTATCATTCAGTACATCTTTGTATGTCTGTAACCATCTGTTATTTTCAAATATCGACTCCCTTTTGACAGCACTTGTGGCATAATATGGCACACAAGTTCAGTAGCGTGTATGGCCACCATGTGCGTTGACAACTTCCAAACAACGCCTTCATGGACTTTCTGACGCTTGTGAACACATGATTGGGAAGACGGCGCCATTGTTGCTGCAAAATGGTGCCAAGATCTTACAAATTCTCTGGTTGGTTCTAGAGAGTGCGCAGACTTCTGCCAAGCATCCCAGACGTGTTCGATGTGATTGAGGTCGGGAGGCCTTGACGGCCAGTCCATTCGTTGTCAAAATTGCTGTGTGGGGTCTGGCATTGTCGTGTTGGAAGATCAAACCGGGTCCAAGTTCTGGTGCCAGTACCTGGTCGCGGTAAGCAGCAGCGTTGAGGTTACCATGGGTGACAAGAAGACTGGAACGTGCATTGCCACAGAAAGCACCCCACACCATGACACTACCGCCTCGAAATCTGTCAACTTCCTGTACACAACACTGGGCGTAACGTTCATGACGGCGCATCCACATCCTCGCCCTACCATCAGCAAATCGAAGATTAAATCGGGATTCATCACTGAAGATTGCTTGATTCCAATTCCTCTGAGTCCATCGTAAGTGTCGCTGTGCCCACAATTGACGTTGACGCCTGTGTAATTGAGTCAGAATAGGCCCGCAGTATAGCCGTCGTGCTTGCAGGTGAGCAGTTCTCAGACGGTTTCGAACAGTTTACGCACTCAGTCTACCCCTAAACAGTTCATTTCTGGTTGATGTAGCCATCAAAAATCGGTTACGGAGGTGACGTAAGACAATCTGACGATCCACTGCATGTGACGTCACACGTGGTCGACTTGGCCTCAGCGGTGGTACCCGTGTGCTGTAGACGCGTCTGTAAATCATAAACAGTCCGTCGACCACAACCCATCGTCCTTGCGACTTCAGCTATGGACCTTCCCGTCTGCAACATGCCGATGGCACGTTCACGTTGCACATTTGAAGGCGTGGCATGATAAATGGCCTTAAAGACTTTTGTTTGCTTGTGTTTTTCTTTTTTTGTTAATGACTGCTAACCAGTGTGGCTGAAAACACGTGCGGTATTATGGCCACGTGACCAGTAGCACGTGAAAAAACATTTTTGCTACTTTAGTGCTGTGCCCATGATTTTCATCGATTCACCTGCACAAAAACGGGTGTTATCTAAAGACAATACATGGCCATTACTGTTTAAGTACACAATAAGGGCCCACAATGATAACTGGTCAAAATGTTTAAAAGTTTAAGATTGTGAGGTTTTTAATTTGGTTCAGTATATATATGTAAACTGTCTAAAATTCTGTTGACGAAGGACAGTAAAACAACTATCACAGATATATGTTTAAAACTAGTACATAACCATACAATATGACAATTCATAACATTAAAATAGATAAATATGGGCTATATATCACCAGCAAAGTGAGGTCACCATACTGAGGACCATGGACCCCAGCAGGATCTACACCTTCTCTTTAGTCACTGGCGACCATTGACAGGGTTTAGCCGGCGATTTAAAACAAACAAATATTCTACGAAAAAAACGCCTTCGAGGATATAGCCACTAACAATCTCAGTTAATAGTCATATACTACCACTTTATAAAATATATATCTTGTGTACATCAAAATTTATTAATTAATTCTATTTCCTTTTAAAAAAACGATGATTAAAGAAGCATGTATTTGATTAAACAGATCCGTTATTGATGTTGCACTGAAATGGTTATCCTTTGTGATAGAAAACTCAATACAGTCAAGCAGCTCATCAAATCTGGACTGACAACCCAAATAGGTTTAACCGATATTTGGTTTTATTGCATGTAATTTATTTACACCCACTTAGGTGTCCCACTTCTTCTGAATTAGATCTCTGATGTAAGAACTGATAACAGGCTTATAGTCACTGTAGGGAAGAAGAAGTGGTGTCACAGATTTGTTGAGAGCTACTTTTGCATCATCATCACCCATTGCATTGCCAATGATACCAACATGACTGGGTAACAAACAAAAGACGATGTCGTATTGGCCATTTGCAAGATTATTATATACTTCTAAAATGTCAAGAATCAGAAGATAAGTAGCGTTTACATTGTGTAGTGTTTGTAGGCATGACATTGAATTGGAGAATATGATAAATTGCTTGCACTGTCTTTGTTCCTGAATATATCTCAATGCTGTGTGTATAGCCTTGGCTTCAGCAGTGAATATCGAGCTATTACCTGGTATTCTAGAAGAGATAATTGTTGATCCAACGACAGTGGCACTATCAGTTTTGCACCACCCTTGGACCCATCAGTGAAAATAGAGTGGTGAGAATTATACTTTGATGTTAATTGGATGTTTTGGGTTTTCTAAGATTGGCAATTGTTAGGTCTACCACTGGTTTGACAAGTTGCCAAGGAGGTGTAGGCAGCAGCCTATTTGGCGCAATAATATCCAGATCTATGTTAGCTGATATCATATGTGGCTTAATTCTGATCCCAAGAGGTAGGGCAAGTGTAGCTTTAGACAGAAACAATTCTTCATCAGTGGGATGAAAAACACAATTATATATTAGATGTGATGGATTTGAATATAATTCAGTAATATATTGTAATGCAAGTTTAAGACGGCGTCGTTTTCAGGGAAGGTTCATCAGCCTCCACGTATAAACTATGAACGGGAGATGTCCGGAAAGCTCCAAGAGAGAGCCTCAAGCCCTGATGATGTATGGAATCCAATTTCTGTAAATTACTTTTACAGGCTCCACCATATATGATGGAACCATAATCCAGTTTTGAGCGAATAAGTGATCGGTACAAATGGAAGGTTTTCTGATGCCCTCTTCATTTGGTGTAAACCCATTGGCAAGCGACCATTTATGTATCTTATTCAGACACAATTGTAGTTGTCTCTCAATAGCATGCATGTTTTTACCCCGACAAGAAATATTAAAATCACCTACAAACAGCGAGCCATCTACTGAATCGCTAAACACTTTTGAAAGACTATTGATCTTGATACTGAATAGTGTGACAGACAAAATACTCTCTTTTGGGACACCCTGATCCTGATTGTAATGGTCAAACAGGGTTGTACACACTCGGACTTGAAATTGCCTGTCGGTTAAAAACTGTGATATAAAATGAGGCAAACGTCCTCTCAAACCAAAATCATGTAAATCCTGTAAAATTCCAGTAAAAGGTGACTTACGGGATCGGGTGGTCAGGCTCGCTGACTTGGTTGATGCATTATGGATTTTAAACCACTGAACAACTCTCCACAGGACTAAATGTTGATTCAAAGGCATGGTACATAGTGCATGATGTTTGAAAGTTCACATAATTAAGTACGGAAATGGCAATAAATGGTTTATTCACAACTGTCTCCCAGTTTTTAGAGAATGAAATTGATATGAATATTCATTTTGCCTCTGGTATTATCCTTCATTTATGTGTAATATTTATTATTTATTTAATTTCAGAAGACAGGTCATTAGTTTTGAGTCTTTGGTGAATATCATTACCACATTTAATTTACTGAGGATACAAAGGGGGCCATCACAGCCTTATAATTGCTGCACACAAACCTATCCAAGATGATATCAACACTGTCATGTTGACTGCTGCATCTTGTATCGGCTGACAATTATCTTCAGCTTGTGTCTCCTCAGTATCAGGGGCAATAACCTTTGAAAGTCACGATATGGTTGAAATACTGCCGATGGGTTTAACTCACTCATTAACTAATGTCAAAACATATGTCTTTCATATGCATAGCAGGGCATGGTTTTACATTTGCTGGGCATACATACCCCAGCCAAAAAAAGTATCCCAACAGCAGATATTGACATTGGGATGGCCCAGTCGATTGACGCAGGCTTCTTCTCTTCAGATGCAGCGTGTGTCTCCTCAGTATCAGGGTGATCTTCATATCCATAACAGAGCATGGTGTACCTATTTACTGGGTACACATATATACCACAGCGCACACGCACATCACGGCAGCGGATATAAAGACTGCGGTCGTCCAGCTGACTCGTGCATCCTCATACATGTTCTTCTGAAGTTTTAAATCAATCATCTTCTCCACTTGTTCAGCTGTAGAGGTGAGGATTCTGTCAAGAGCTTCCAGGTGAAGCAGCTTCGTGTTGGTGTGTGTGGTATTTTCCGTGACATAATTCTTGACGTAACTGATGGCGTATGGTGGAATGCCAGTTTGTTCTGACATCATCTTCACAGCTTCCTGTACTAGTGGTGAATTGTACAGGTTGGGAATGTTTTCTGGGTCCTTGAACTGCGGGTCACACTCATCCAGGTGAGTCAGCACCAGGTGGTAGGACAGGACTGAAACACGATACATTTAATCAGCACAGGCGAAATAACACAACTGAAGACACTATAGTATAGCGATCGTAAACAAACATCCTAAAGCATATCCCACTTATCGTATATGGATACACATTTCGAAAGGTTTGACCTGATATTAAGCCTCATTTTTATACATGCATTCTGTTTAATGAAAGCAACATGTCATTTCAAAAGTGGTTAACCTGAATAGTGTCCTTGATATTCATACTTGTGGGAACTAATACTTATATCAGATGTTATTCTACAATTTACAAAAAAAGACTGTGCTTACACACCCGTGGGTGAGAAACCCATTTGAGATAACTGGTATCAAACATGTGTGTGAGACCAAATTCAAAGCCTGTGATACTCCATGGTAATGACCCTAGGTCAGATTGTGACGGACTACTTTCCTGATCGTAAGTCACTGAAAAGTTGCTTGTGCGTCAGTCGAATGTCCACCTACGTCTGTGTTGAAAGGTATGTTTTTAGAGTGTACCCCAACCCCTATTGGATGTCACAGCAACATATAGATATATCCCCATGTTATGGGTTTTCGGACGCTTGAGAAACATTTGCTAATCACAAGAACCGTAAAACATCTCATTTACTTATAAAAAAAACTTTATCGAAACCTCAAGCCATCATCTGATTATTTACAATGTCTGTTCACACCATAGCCCTCTTTTAAGCGGGAGTAATTCGCGATAAACATGGCCGTCCGAAAAAGTATATGACGTCCGAAAACACGACCCCACGATATATCTCTCTCCTCTACAACCCTCACTTTGACGTTGACTAAAATTCAAAATACTTCACGCACACAAATTGTTTTGAATTATGTTGGAAATTCCATCTTCTGTGATAACATCAACCGTCATTTTAGGCAAATCAAAAGGATTGAAAGTGATCTCTGAAAATTGGGTACCTCGTAAATCTTGTGACTTTTGATACATTACTAAGTCATTATTCATGGCGTTATTTGGTGTGTGTTCAGAAATCTTAATATCGAATATTTAACCCAATGATTGAATTTCAAGAATAGCACACGTGTGATCCCGGGAATCTGTTTTACACCAAATCACCAATGATAATTCGAAAACGATATCAATGAACCCAGAATCTTTAGAATATTTTGGAATAGCACGAGCGCCGAAGATGGTGCTTACAACATCACGTTTCACGAATGCCACTTATGATGAGACCCTTATTAGATCACGTACATTTAAAAAACTCAGCTGCGATACATGCATCCCTGAATTCCACCTACATTTTATAATCAAGTGACAAATGGTCTTTGCCACAAATCATCTGGATGAAATCAAGCGAAATAAATTTGGTCTGGAAGTGAAAAGCGTGCTCGGAAAACTGTAGTATTGAAATGTGAACAAAGCAAGTTTCAGATTTACACTGTGAAATGTTTTCTCCTATTTTGAGAGATCCGTTCGTCTAATTATTGCAAACATGACGCTTTTAAGAATATTTGTGTATCGTAGCACGAATTAAGGAATCTGACAGAATCTGCCGTGTAGTAATCTCTAGTGCACACAGTTGGAGATTTTTATCTATGATTGGATAAAATCAAATAGCCTGTTCTCTTCCACTAATTTCCCCACTTGAACAGGAAATAAAGGAGACCATATTTCGATTCATGCAGAAATATTCCGCTTGACAAAACACTTTCAACAAGACTGAATGATGGAGATGTTATTCAAAAAGTGTGTATTCAAAAATTGGGGACACTACTGAGCTGTGACGTGAATTCGCACGTGTCTCTAATGGGTGGCACTGGTGGGGCAAGGCACGCTCACCTTTTCGAGAATACCTGGTTTCATCACAATGTCATGGTGATTCATGGGGGCATGCTGTTGAAATGGTTGCATTTATACCATCGACTTAAGATGCTGTTACATAGGCGATTTGATACTGTAAATGACCTATTCATATGCCATGGACATTCCTTAGTGGTATTTTGGAAATATTTAAACTCTGCGGTTTGGCAATATTGCAGTAGCAGCAGTCAAATTTACTAATGGGGAAAAGACCTAGAAAATGCTGCTAAGTTTAGTTAAGTCACACAATTTCAAAATGGAAAATACATAAACATGTACATGTGGCTACAAATACACATGACAGTTTTACTTGTTTCTGAACTTGAGGGTTGTGACATCAATCTCAACTCACCACCTTCTCCCCCTAATCGTATGATAGCATTAAGCTGACGCTTCAATTCATCACCCAGAGTGATGCCATGATGTAGAACCAGAACAACGCATGACACATCCCTTCGCGCCTGTTGTTGGTTGATTTTCACCTCAAGCGTTTTCCAGTTTCCTATCTTGAAATATACAAACAGAAAACAATGCCTCAGTAGGTTATAAATGCTGATTATACAAATGTATATTTCGATTTCTATTTTGTCCATATCTAAAACATTGAGACAATGGTACGACGCATTGCTTACCTGAGCATCGAAACGGACCCGTCCGGAAGCAATAGCTTCAATACTCTCCGTTTTGAAATCACTGGATTCAAATATTCCTGGCATGTCAATAATCCAGTGGTCACCATATTGTGAAGGCTGGAACTGTAAAATAAAATGGTTTGAGTGAAAGATGAAACAGGAGACATGAGGTCATGACTGGGATTTTAGTGAATGACACTGACACCTGGTCAATGTTTTGGCATTGACATGTCCGAGTTGGTAGAAAGCTGAGAATCATTAACAAAGTGCTAGGTGGTGCATGAGTTCCAGTTCAAGGATCAGGACATGCTTTACGGAAACGTTAATGATAGGTCATTATTTCGAAGATTGGGTTAAAGACTTTCCAATGATGCAAGAGGTTATATGTTTCTAGTGACCTAATTCAGCAGCTTCAAGATCTTTAGTGAATGTGTAGGTAAGCAAGACGTTTGTTAAAATAAATATCATGATCATTGTGGATCCTCACTTTAAGAACCTCAGAGACCAGTGTGTAAAGATACGTCACCCCAAAAAACAATAGATGACGACAGAGGAGATTTCTTAGTATGAACATGCTTCTTTTTGTTAAATGAAGTCAGGAGAGTTTCAGCACAAGTTTCAGGACAATACTTACAGTCCTAGTAAGTGAGTTGTCGTGACTACCAACGGCATAGTAGGTGGTAGGTTGGGCAGAATCCTTTAGTGCTGCTCTCAAGCCATTGCAGAAGGAGGACTTTCCAGCACCGCTCGGACCAAATATCAGGATCTTCCCATGTATCAGCCTCCCTTCCTTGTCATGCATGTGTTCATAAAACATGTCTCGGAGTCGTTGAACCTCCTGCAGAGAGTTTAATTGAAGCAATGTAAGAGGAATATATCGAATATATATTAGTTACAAGGAGCGTTCAACAATTTGCAAGAGTTTGTTTACTATGTATTATATTCTCGCATGTTTCGAACAATCACATTTATCTATTGGTACCTGTGCTGTCCATCTTCCTCGTTTGGTCTTCTTTGGTCCCCATGCAAATTGCTGAAAATGTAGAGCCAAGATTAGGTTGTGACGTGACCGGAACCAAGGTCAGCTGTCTACCAAACACTCAGTAGATGTTAACAAGTGCATCCTCATATCTTTCATTCCCTTGTCTCGCGAATACCTATACCTTCCAAAGCCTTCAGAATGAAAGAACAGAAAATGTTTAAGCACCATGTGAACAAAATTTCACTCAATAAAAGCAGACATCTATGACTAACAATGACACAACAGGAGGTAAAGTTAGATCAGGCACACGTATAACAATTGACTTGTGAGTCACATTAACTCAGAAGTCACTGGTTTTATATTTAATATGTCCACCTCAATCATCAATTCAGGCTACAACATGTGTCGCGCCGTATGCCTAATGATGTTAGTATATATCTGTTGAGACATTGATCCAGGTCCTGCTGGTTTACTTGTTGTACTGGTCGCCTTCTGACTTGCCTGTCAAGACGGTCCATGGCAGGCGAACATACATGCCATGGTACAACATTAACGTTCATATTGCTGAGGAAGTCCTTTGTCAGCCTTGCAGTAATATGGTCTTAGTGTCATCATGCTGGAAAAATGTCGTGCCTGGCTGCTGTTTGATAAATAGTAAGGTACGGTCACAAAACGTCTGTGGAGTAATGTTATCCTGAATTACAACAAGTAGTTGGTGATTGATTGGAACCCTAGTGGTTAAAGCGATATGAAGAAATACTGAGATGTGTACAGGAAAAAAGGATGAAGTGATGTCTTTAAGTTCTTCACCTATATTTAGCTCAAATACCAGCCACATCTTTTAAAAGGCTACTCTTTTTTAAGTATGCATGTCTATGTTACATGTTCATTGATTGGTCGTTTAGGTATTATTAGATGCAAGTAGGTAAATTTTTCACACTTACCATTAACGTTTCATCTCTCTTTTGCTTTTCATCTTTCTCATCCAGAAGGCGTTTGTTTTCTTGCTCAGCAGTTTCCTTCTTTTGTCTTGTCTCCACAGATTTTCGGGCTTCATTTTCTGCACGTGCTCTTGCCTCTTCTGCTCTCACTCTCTCTTCCTTTGCAAGACCCTGTGCCTCAAGTGCTTTTTGTTTTTCAATGTGGGCCTGTTCTGCAGCTTGTTCAGCTCTTCTTGCACTTTCAGTTGCTTCTTCCTTTGCTTTACCAGCAGCCATCTTTTCCTGTTCTGCACGTTCCCTCTCCTCATTTGCTCTTTGGTTCTCCTTTTGGGCTCGTTCTTCGGCATCTTTAGCTCTTATGTTACTTTCATTTGCTTCTTTTCTTGCTTCTTCAGCACGTTCCTTTTCCTCCTTCACTCGCCTGGCCTCGTTTCTTGCCACTTCTTGTGCCCGTGCTAACTGTTGTAAAGGATTTTTGTTCAACTCCACAGTTAGATTGATATATCATTATGACATATAAATAACCATGTCTTGGCAATACAGGTACGTGACTGGCTGCATGAGCAATGATCCATGTCATGAAGCACGCTCGAGCTCTGTTCTGGACCTGTTCTAACTCTTGTTTGAAACATGTATGAGACAGTGTATTGTTCAATTTGCAATTTTGCTAAATTTCAAATTCTTCAAACATTTGAAACATTATCAACTAACATATACGAAATATCAAGCTTCAAAAACCAACAATCTCAGAAGTACGTTTTGAGGAGATAGAGCATTATGGTTCTCAGGAGACCATAATGATGTATTTGTTTTTGGGGATTATTGCGGAGAATTGGACCCTAATTGTCTTGTTTGGGTTCATACTGTTCAAATGTAAAGAAACAGAACATTGTAGTGACCATATAGTCAAGAGCTAATCCGACCATCAGAGAAAAACTTGGAGCAATAAACAATAGACTAAAATTTCACACAAGCTTGAATAAGAATTAGAAAGAAAGACTGGAAAAAGGGGAAAACGTGCAGGCTGACATAATGAGTTAAACTACGAATATGATGAAAGACCAAAGACAGTATTATTATTACCCAAGGTTATTCGATCGGTGTGTAAGCATGAACATGCGTGTACTAAATGATAGATCAGGATCAGACGTTAAATAGTAACTAGAACAGAATCTGATTATCTTCCCTTGACAGTCAACTTAGCCTTATCACATGATCTTAGAGATCTTACAAGACCTATTTCAACATTATTTCAATAATAAACACAAATTTAGACTCTGCTGTAGAGATCTTACAAGACCTATTTAAAAATAGTTTTTTGATCAATCGCGGGACATCATGATGCACTGCAACCTTACGTAAATAAACTACACCAAAATCAGCCAAACTGGTTTGGTAGGGAATGCGAGACACAGAAACGTACCAAATATGTCCTCGAAAGTTTAGGATTAAGAATGATAGTGAACATTGTAATGAGTATTTAAACGCCAAGCCTTTTAAGGCAACTTGTAAAAGAAGCAAAATGAATATGAAATGCCTGTCTCTGAAGAAGTTATAAAAGCTGCAGAAAGGAAAGATTGTAAATTATTTTGGAAAATGATTATAAAATATCGCTATAGACGTGAGTTGGGATCCTCATTTATCACAGCTGGTGATTGGTATGCCTACTTGAGAGAACTGTTAAATCCACAAGAAAAACCAGATCACTGGTCTGATAAAGATGTCGCAGAAAACCATTCTACCAGAGACTGTAGAGATGTCTGTAGAAACTGCGATGAACTAGCCAGTGTGGAAATGTTAGAACATGAAATAATACATATTATACACCATTTGAAAATTGGCAAATTACCAGGACATGACGGGATCATATGCATGATGGGATCACGTGAAGCCTGTTCTCAGTTGTTACCCTTTATAAGCGTCTTTTGAAACCAAATTCTTGAGGCAGGTCAAATCCATGAATCATGGAATCTTGTGCTTATTGTCCCATTACATAAATCAGGCTCCGCCATGTTAGATATAATAGGTATTCATATCAATTATTGAATCTCGCATACACGTTTGGATCTCCACCCAACAGATACTATCTGAATGCGAAGCAGGATTTACTCTTAATATTCAGTGACATTAGAATTTTACCATATTTTTGTTGACTTCATTTGACACTGCGGATAAAAATATACTTTTGTACATGTTGCTCAGTAAGGGTGAACCCTATATCGCCAGAGTATTGAAAACAATTCATAAAACAAGTTTGTAAATTTGTTCTTGGCAGCGGTTATTTCAGACAACCAAAGAAACGATACTCCAGACGTTGCTGTTACATGCTTAAGCACCTTGATGACTTTGGGGATATAGACTAGGGATCAGCTGAAATCCTTCTTTTCGTATGGATTTGCATATTCGTGGATATCCCAGGATGTTCTTAAAATATGTTCTTAAAAAAACCCTTTAAACAACCGTATAACAAAACAACAGAAAAAAAGTTTGATACATTGAATATTAATAAAACTCAAATGTGCACATGTATTCAGATACAGTACACAGATGGTGTTCCGCAAGAATGTTCCTACAGCAGAATGTTATATATGTACAATTGGCCTCATGGCAAAATGTCTGTCAAAATGGAACTGAGTAGCACACATTAAAGCAATTTATGCAACCGACTCCACATTGCATTTTCTGCCAGAATGTTACACATTAGCCAATAAGCGTGATATACAGAAGTTTAGAAAGTACTATGAATTTATTTTATTTCGAAAATGAATTGACTCCTTACCAAGGAAACAGGCTGCTTTTGATTTCAAATTTACTGAACCAAATTAAAAAACTTCACAATCCTAAAATTTTAACATTTAGACCAGTTATCATTGTGGGCCCTTATTATGTATTTAAACAATAATGACCACGTATTGTCTTCAGATAACACCCGTTTTTGTGCAGGTGAATCGATCAAAATCGTTTTTTCACGTGCAACTGGTCACGTGGCCATAATACCGCACGTGTTTTCAGCTATACTTGTTAGCATTCACTAACAAAAAAAGAAAAACACAGGAAAACAAAAGTCTTTAGTGCCATTTGTCATGCCACGCCTTTCAAATGTGCAACGTGAACGTGCCATCGGCATGTTGCAAACGGGAACGTCGGTAGCTGAAGTCGCAAGGACAATGGGTTGTAGTCAACGGACTGTTTATGATTTACAGACACGTCTACAGCTAACGGGTACCACCGCTGATGGCCCTCGCCAAGGTCGATCACGTGTTACGTCACATGCAAAGGAACGTCAGATTGTCTTACGTCACCCCCGTAACCGATTTTTGACGGCTACATCAACCAGAAATGAACTGTTTAGGGGTAGACGGAGTGCGCAAACTGTTCGAAACCGTCTGAGAACTGCTCACCTTCAAGCACGACGGCCATACTGCGGGCCTATTCTGACTCAATTACACAGACGTCAACGTCAATTGGTGGCACAGCGACACTAAGTATGGACTCAAGTCGTCTTCAGTAATGAATCCCGATTCAATCTTCGATTTGCTGATGGTAGGGCGAGGGTGTGGAGGCGCCGTCATGAACGTTACGCCCAGTGTTGTGTGAAGGAACTTGACAGATTTCGAGGCGGAAGTGTCATGGTGTGGGGTGCTTTCTGTGGCAATGCACGTTCCAGGCTTCTTGTCACCCGTAGCAACCTCAACGCTGCTGCTTACCGCGACCAAGTACTGGCACCAGAACTTCTGCCTTTTATGGCAGCACATGGACCCGCTTTGATCTTCCAACACGACAATGCCAGACCCCCCACAGCAATTTTGAAAAGGAATTCAGAATGCGGGAGTCAACGTCATGGACTGGCCGTCAAGGTCTCCCGACCTCAATCCCATCGAACACGTCTGAGATGCTCTTGGCAGAAGTCTGCGCACTCTCCAGAACCAACCACAGAATCTTCAAGATCTTGTCACCATTTTGCAGCAACAATGGCGTCGTCTTCCCAAGCATCACAAGGTCCATGTGGAGGCGTTGTGTGGCAGTTGTCAACGCACATGGTGGCCATACACGCTACTGAACTTGTGTGCCATCAGATTCTTATGCTTGGGACTTATGAATTAAACTGTTGATGTTATTACTGAATACCGTAGGTGCTTAGAACAAATTATGGTTACCACCGTTAATTTAAATCCTTCTTTGGACATTAATGATTAAAAATTACCTTCTCGGATACATTTGTCCCTTGTATATCATTTATGGGATTACTTTTAAAAATGTGAAGTTTTTAATTTGACTCAGTATACATTGACAGGATTTTCATCTTTAGTGACTCTCTCTCTATGAAAACTGCCATTGAAAGAAATCTTTAACATTACTCACATCAGCAGCATCAGCTGAAAGGGAAACATATAATACTTGCAGTCTGGTTGATTATTGACATTGAAACTAAAAGTCGTAGAGTTATGTTGAATTTCAGTTCAGAGATGAGTTTTCAAAACTTTAACAATATTTCATTATGTTTGTTTAACATAACTCCACATTGGGATGATATGAACACCTAGGGTTATAGTTCTATTGTGAACAGCTTGGCAAGTTCAAGATAGGAATGACTCAAGACATGAGAGAGATGTACTGTACTGTACGTATTATAGATGATAAAGTGAGTGAGTGAGTGAGTGAGTATGGTTTTACGCCACTTTTAGCAATATTCTAGCAATATCACGGCGGGGGACACCAGAAATGGGCTTCACACATTGTACCCATGTCGGGAATCGAACCCGGGTCTTCGGCGTGACGAGCGAACGCTTTAACCACTAGGCTACCCGACCGCCCCTATAGATGATAAAGCAGGAACTCTATAAAAGCCGCCACAGATGTTGTTCTCCCTGTGATATTAGTTGACATCAAGATATATGTATACTTACCATAGCCGAACCAGCTCATGCTTTATTGATGAGCTGAAAAATGCCAAACCAATCACCTGGCATATAAAGTACATGTGCGGGTGTAAAATATATACTGATCACCAAAAGTTCCTGTGACATTGAATAAGATTTAATGCAAAGTTATGGTTTTTTTTCCAATTCTGAAACAATTTCGGTTTGCAACGGATAAAAGACTCCTGTAAGTGTTCAAATGGTTTAATTTGACATACTGACTTTAGAAAATGCGTGGTTTCATAAAAAAAACATGAACCTGGCAAAATGACAATTTATAAATCAATAGCGTGTGGGTCTACCTCTGGTTGAGATGCAAGCAACACATCTTTGTCTCATGGAATGGACCAGGCGTCGCACTAAGTCCTGTGGGACATCTGTCCATAATATGTTGGAGCATGTTTCGAGTTCCTGGAGTGGAACACGTGGTTGACGTCGAAGGCGCCGATCCATCTCATCCCACATGTGCTCGATTGGTGAGAGATCATGGGAGCGAGCCGGCCAGGTGATGACATTCACGTTGTTTTGTTGAAGAGAATCCTGAACAAGTCGAGCAATATGAGGCCGGGCGTTGTCATGTTAGGCCGGTAATACCAGGGCCATGACGACGCAAAAACGGTAGAACAACAGGGCCGATGATCCATTGAGATTTCCCTCTACCACCATCAACTGGGTCCTCTGTCTTGCTGTAATCCCACCCCATACCATGACGCCGCCGCCCCCGAACCGACCTTCTCCGGTGACACAATTATTGACGTAACGTTCTCCTCGACGTCGGTTTCACTCGAATCGGTCCATCGCTGTGGCTGAGGTGAAAACGAGTCTCGTCAGTGAATAGAACTTGTCCCAACTTCAAGTGTACCAATGGCTCGCAGACGCTCATTTTCGGACAGGCGTGGCATTTCGTAATGTTGAATAATTGCGTAATTTTGTTGTTTTTCTGAGTGGTTGTTGTCAGCACGATGCTAAACAATGCATATGGAATCCCGTTAACGCACATGTTTTTATACCCATTCTTGGGTAGTGAAATGCATGGGGCTTGCATAAAAGACAACCTTTGCATGGAAAGCATGCTTTTCTGTAGCAGTTGCGTTTTTGTGACTTGATTCCATACATGTACTACAATATTGAAAACCAAACTTTACTTGTTTGAAAAATACACTAAAATATTGCTGTCACAGAAACTTTTGTTGAAGAGTATAGTAGGCATTCTGTTTCTAATACTAGTTTTGGCGACATAGTGTGGTTGAAAATGTTTTTCTCTCCCCAGCAAATATACTCTTCAAGAAAAGGGAAATGTTCAGTTAAATGTGCATATTTTATTTAAATGTGATTGCCATAAGGATGAGACTTAACATGGTGATAGTCACATGTTGTGTAGACATGATGGCAATACAGATTGTCCTGTTACAAGACACTCACGTTCACGAGGGGACGTTATGATCAGTACTTGGTGTGACCACTGTGTGCTGTTAGTCTACGGAATTCTGTGGAATTCTCCTCCGTGCTTCCTACAACACGTTGGCCATTTGTGCAAGTGTCTTTGGTGTATGCGTCCTCCCACAGATACTCTTCAGGTTCAGATCTGGAAGGCCATGGCAGGACATATGACGTTTGAATTATGAAGGATAGTGACGTTGTGTAGTGTAGTGTAGCCTTGTCAGGGTGAAATGACTCCCTCTGTCGGTTGATAATCGGACGAAGGCACCGTTGAACAATTTGGTCGATGTCCCGATCCAGACTCGCCGCCAGTTTCTCAGGGTCCATGCATGTACGGTGTTGCTCCATCGCATACGTTGTCGTCTATGCAAACGTTTCAATTCATGGATACATACCGGTCTTCTGGGTCTAATTATCACTACTCGCAGACGACTCCTGATTGTTTGGTCTGATACATTTCTCTAAACAGGCACATGTCCTGCAGTCTCGGTGGCAATAGCATGTCGATGACTTAGGGGAAAGACCCGGATGTAGCGATTTTGTACAGAGGTGCTGACTCTTTGTCCACCGCTTCTATGACGATATTGTGTTGAATTGAGGAGATCCTACCGACCCCATAAACGAGATATGGAGCTGAGGTGTACGTTGAAATGACTCTCCAGCTTCAAGACGTCCTCTATCGACGTTGCGATTGACAGCATTCAGTCTCTGGAATTTCCCGCTTCCAGCATATCGAAAAACGTAGGACCAAATCTTGACTCATATTTGACCTATAAGTCATTGTCACTTCACATGATTGTGACAACCTCCACGTGCATTCTGCTATTACTTTCCTCTCAATAAAATGTTCGTGCTGTCTTATTAAAAAAGTTGTATAAAGCTACAAACGTTTCAAACGGTTGTGTTTGTGCGCTACACCAGTTAGTGAACATGTGACTAACACAATTAAAATAATGTTTTGTATTGAATGTTTCATGAATGAACAAAAAAATACATCCTCATTATCTCCTTTGTGTTTCCTTCTTCTTCTAATTGACGATGTATCAGTTGGATTCCTTCTACGTCTGGGTACAACATACATGGAGTGGGCATAATGACCAGACAATCGTCTGTGTTATCTAACGGTTTCACGTGAAGCTTTTGTGTCATTTATTCTGTCAGCTTATCAAATACATAGTTGTCTCTGAATTGCATGCAGATAAGGGTTGTATCTTTTAAACATCTTTCACTTGCCCATCTTAGCAAAACAAATCATTGTGTGATAAGACCGCCTCCATAGATGGAAAGCATGTATTCCCTGTTTTTCTCCCTATGATTTCAATTGATACCAAGCTGAATGTACATTTACCCATCTAAGCTAGATCTTCCTTTACGTTCCGATGGATGATAGAGCATGGCTATTCTATGTCATTGACTGCTTGACAAACGGTAAAAATATTTATACCGAAATTTCAACTTTACAGTCTTAAAGAAGTTGTTCCATTAATTGTGTCTACCATGTCATCCTTTAACTTCTAAGTAATGCCTATTAAACAATTTATTGATGCACTTTAAAAAGAAAAATAGTCATCTGGTATATATTCATATATTTGGTTGCATATTTTTTAGAAGAGAATTCTTATCAATATGAAGAGGGTTTTGTAGCTTTTACTTTTTTTTAAATCATCCAAATTTACCAAATTCAACAAAACAGTTTAACTCATTTCTGTACACAGTGGCTTAAGCATATGTCGCTGCTTCATTCCAATATCAAATGATTTTACATTTTACCAAATAATCAAATGAGTCATATATAAAAAAACATATTACTTAATACAATGCTATAGCCTCGTTCATAGATAGAAAAACTAGATGTTGACACGAGAACAATAAGATATTGTAAAGGTAAATCAAGATAGTATATTTGAGACACAAGAAAGGCTCACATCTTTCACTTTTAGAATGTTATAACGAAGGAAGATACACCAAGGTCAATTGATATGTTAACTTACGTTGTGTTGCCGCTTGCGAGGAATAACACGTCCTACCAGCTTGGTGTGCACACATTGACTGCGATAGTTGCCAGGGGCGGCGGTATAAACAAGACGGCTCCGTCCAGATCGGTTGTGTGCAACGCCCGACAAGCTGACAACTAGATAGCTGAGACAATTCAAGCGACCATACAGGTGTGTCTGCAGTTGTCTGGTTGGCGTATTTGAGGTACATGTTTCAATACTCTTTCTAATACTACCTATTCTTGTCATATTATACATATATATATATATTATATTGTTTACAAAATAACCTTTGTTCTCAACATAGCAACATAAAAGGTTGATCTTTCTGTTTCGTGTAAAGCCTTGGTGTCATTATTTGTGTAGCCTTTTAAAAGACATATTGTCTCTGGATGCCTGTGTTGTCAGTTTGGAGAAGTTAAGGTAATAGCTGAATTCTTTAAGACACGTTGATCTGTAATCTAACTATCTTATGATAACTCTCATTTCTTCCAGTAGATATAAGGACATTTTACGTTCGCTTCTTTTATGCGATAATTTTAGAATACAATTGTTGTCGTCTGCTGAAAGTATAAACATTTCCTTGAATGGTTGTGGAAATGATGTTCTTCTGCTGGTATGAGGTCATGAGTTATTTGGTTTTAGTGAGCACATCTGGATTCGAAAACCCAGCCAGTGGTAAAGAACATCTGTAGTTTTAAAAATGCTGTGCCCTTCTTTAAATCTCAGTGATGTGTTGTGTTGATATCAGCATGTGAGACCATGCGGACTGTAATATTATTTTGTGGAACAAATATCAATGTTTTAATTCAATGTTTAAATCAAATCAAAATAGAAAATAGCCATTCATATACTTAATTCATTATTCATATGTATGTATTTTTAAGGTATTAAGATATTAATATTGTAGCAAATATATATGTGCTAGGACTGTTACAATCTGTTTCAGATATGTCATTGCAACTTCATGTTCTTCCCAACACACGTTATGATGACAAACTCAAGAAGTCTTTTATAGACCAACTGTCTCTCCATGTTGAGCTGAACAGGAAAGTGTCCTCCACTGTTTCACCGCCGCTCATTGTGATATTCCGGCCTCAAGGCAGACCAAACGATGAATTTAATGGAGTTGTCCTACGGTTCCTTGGTAAATGTAAGATTTGTGTTTGCGACAAATGTAGCATCAGCGATTGCAGATGCAACAATTTAAATTACACTGTTAAGATGGGTTGCACTTTATTCTGAATTTCTTAACCCTGTCTGGACCAGTGAATGTGAAATAAAAGACAGCTGAACAAAAGAATACAGCGTTATTACAATGTTATTTTGTCTGAAGCCAACCATATCGGGATATGATAACAAACATAAGTTCAAACATCACAAATATAACACTTTGATTGTTTGTAAATGTTGTAACTTCTTACTTATCCTGCATTATTCCTTAATGCATTCACTCCTTACCTTACGACAACAAGAAGGACAGTGCAACAGCGATGGTCCCGGGTAAAGAAATTTAGTTGTTGTTCACGAGTTCCATTTTTACTGCCCACTGCCGCTGTCATGTGACCTTGATGACAGGAAAGGCCACTTTCGTCACATCACTACCTGTCGCGCTACAGCATGGACGTGTCCCAAAGGAGCTCTCCTTTTGTCGGAATTTAGACCTTCAGTTTTTGTCGACAATTCTAAACTTGATCTGCGATGGGTGACGTATTCCTTTCATATTACTTTCACCATGGTGTGTAGTTTTGTGTGGAATATTTAGGCGTGAAAACTGTCTTTCTTCCTGCCGTGTACTCATTGTTCTCCGCCATTTTGAATTTGTGTTACAATTGTTTGCCTGCCAAAGTTGTCAAATTGTTTACAGTTCTCGGCTACGTTTGTATGACATTCATGTGTTTCTAAATACTTCTAGCTTTGGCATTTACTTGCATATATAAAAATACTGTATACACTTTTAATATTGTATACACTCGTAAAAAATATTTAATGCTGATAGGTTATTGTTTATTTCAATGGCATTCTTCCAGTCCCGTTTCATCAACAATTCTTTATTTGCACAATTTATGCTTGCGCGTCGTACTAACTGTGTAACAAAATCGTCCAAAGATCCTCATCCACTTTGTTTGGCATTCACGCAGATGGGCTCGCCAAGCTTTTTTGTGTAAATCTCTCTAACGAGTTGAGCAATATATAGGCAGGCTACTCCCAGACGTATTTTACGCGAATCCCGTCATGAGGAGAGAAAGATGCTACAATCTCAGAATAGCGTAGGACATGGTTCGGTCAGCCGTTACGACGCAGCCGTAATGACGCAGCCGTTATCATTGGTGGGTAATAGCACGCCCGTAGCTTTGACTGCAGAAGTGCGCCCTCCGCCAAAATCAGCAATACTGAAGGATTTTGTATCGTAACTGCTCCTAGTTTTCAGCTGCCTGAGACATCCAGATCTGCTAGATCTGCAACTCCTGCACAAGCGTCTTTAATCCAGTTAGCAAAAATGAGTATTACGCCGAGCGCAGCTCCTGCCTTCTTCCCAGGGCTAACAGCGTGGTATGTTACGCAGGCGACACATGACAAGCTAAACGCTGTTACAACATATCCAGTGCAGCAGGTGCACGCTCAGGTGTCAACACTGTACCAGAACGCTAATTCGACCATGATCCTGTCATCATCGATGAGTATTGTGTTTCATAGATCTGCACCGGGCCCAGCACCTGCCTACAACCCAAGCGCCTCTACAATGATATCAGCCCCGGGGCTTAAGTGTACACTGTTATGCAGGCGACACATGATCAGCTTAGTGCTGTTCCAATGATTTATCGTTGGCATTAGCACCGTTTCAGAACACTAATCGGATGCAAAACTCTATGCAGACCATGTTGCAGCAGTTTATGGCACACCTGTAACCAGAGGCCTGCGCAGAAGTGTTAGCGCCTACATCGGCGCCTACCGTTTACCAAACACCTAATGTGAGTACTGGTACAGCGCATTCATTGCTGGGCAGCGTTAGTACGCCAGCGTGTTACGGGGACATCTGGGTCCTCAAAACCCTTTGATAGTGCAGGAGCTGATCCCTGTCGAAAACGAGTATGTCAACATTGTTCTGCCTCGTCGGACTTTTCTATGGAGAAGATAGCGATTCCTCTGTGGAATGGAATACGCATCTCAGCTTAGCACAAGTACACCGTGAAGTCATTGGATAAAAACTTCTGCAAGCTTACTCTTGCTCCGTCATTTAAGCCACCCGACCTCATCAGGGCCACCTACCATCAAGATACCTGATTTGCATTCATAGAAATGGATATAAGGCGTGCACTGAAACCGTTGTCAGCACCAACAACCATATCATGCAGTGAATCAGGATCTATCAGAGGATAATCCTATCCAATTAGATCTTTTCCAAACTATGGTGAATTTCCTACAGCGACAGATTGACCACATGAGAAGGCCATTCTGGCAGAGATAACTGCCACACGCAGACTTGATTGTTAAGTGCTTTCAAACCGGACCTCTGAGTTCAAGCACAGATGCTACGTCAACCTTGGTCATCTACTTCCCTGTTCAATGACTAGATCGCAGAAAACCAACATAGACATACTGTTTGTGAAAAGAGCTGAAGAGATGGCTCACGTCCCAGACTTAACACCGGGGTTTTATCCTCAAATCTGCCTGGTACCCATGAAGGACTCAGACGAGATGAGAATGATCTCCGTGTTTAATAAACATTAACTGAAGCGTCCACCTTATTGCTGCGTTGTGACTGCTCAGAACTAGCATCAATGGTTCGTTTCTTGATCAGTGTCGACTTGCAGGATGCCTACCTGCATATACTCCTCAGGTTCCAGGTCATTGGGGTTCGATACAAATGGGCAGTGCTCCAATTGGCTGAATGGCTGTTTAGACGAGTACAGAGACCAACAACTGCGTATCTACACCCGAGGAGTTTAGTTCAGTACATAGGCGATTGTCTACTGTGTCATCAACACACGCTGAAGTTAGTACGACACTGGGAGTACGCCACGAGGCGAAGTCGGATTTAACTCCATCCTATTAACTTCAATTCATAAGAGGCCCGTTCGAGACGGACAAGGAACTCCTATCAGTACCGAGGGACAGATGGCACAAAGTCCTACGACTCTTGTCACCTGAGCTACACCAACCACGCACACTTCACCAATGACAAATCAGGCGTCAGGTTCCACTCAAGGCCATCACTCTTCCGGCTAAACAGTAGACTCGAATGTCTTAGGAGGGGTCTCTTAATGCGGGTTATCTCCGAATCTACAGCTCCCTTCAGGAGTGGGATGCTCACCTGCAAGACCAGACAGCCTCAGGGCTATGGTCTGGCGCTCATCGAAAATGGCACATAAACTACTTGGAGCTGGAAGAGTTAATTCTGGCCATGGCAGAATCAGTTACACTCCGCCCAACTCACTATATCCACAGACAACAGCAATGTGGTGTGGTCCCTGTGCAATCAGGGAACAAAGCACTCCCACTCCTTGATGTTGACACATATATGTCGTCCAGACAGTGTGGTTCCAAACGAGTTGAAACTTCCAGTTAGTGCTTCAGAAGTTCAGGCAACCAAACATCGACTTGTTACTTGCGTAGACCACAAACTCATGATGTATATCTCCTCCTTACCGGTTCCGCAGGCGTTCAGCATCCCTTGGGAAGGGGTAAAAGCATACGCTTTTCCGCCACTCGTCTTACTTCCCAAGATGATACAAAGGAGGTAAAGAATATTGCTGTCACTTTGGTCGCGTCTTGGTGGCCGACGAGAAGATGGTTCACTTGTACCCCTCCCACAGTGGTCCAACCTACTCGTCAACCAACAAAGCAAATTGCCTGCAGGTTTGTCTGCATGCTTGGTTCGTCTTTAAAAGGTTTTAAGTTTGAAGGATGCATAGAGGGGCTCAGAGCAGAACACAAAAACGATGAGATATACCTTAACCAAACTTGGCACATAGATAGGTTTAGTGGTGAACTGGTGCCTTTTGATAGTTTGGTATTTTGAAAAAATAATATTTTTCGAGGTTCCATGGCAACGACTTTGACTTAGACTGAAAATGGCGGAAATACCCTTTTCTGGAGCAGATCTTGAAAACTGTACAATATTTCTTAACAAAGCTTGGCACATAACTAGGTCTAGAGGTAAACTGGCGCCTGTGATTTGTGATTTTTTTTAAAAAAATGTATTATTCGATGTTTCCCTGGCAAAGACTTTTGACTTAGACTGAAAATCATCAAACTTTGCACAGATCTTGAAATCGGTACAATATTTCTTCACCAAACTTGGCATATAAATAGGTCAAGTGGTAAACTGGTGCCTTTTGATAGATTGGGAGTTTTTACAGATGTTTCCTTAGCAAGCGCTGACTAGGAAACCGTTGATACGTTCTACAAAAACATATACTCAGGGTTGTGCGAGAACCATTACCATAATTACCTAATTGAGATGTATACCATTTGACAAAGGAACTGACAAGTTATGTGGTGAATTATTGTGAAAACACAATTAACAAGTGGCACTGAACCAGTATATTTCATCGCAGTGCATGGTGGTAACATGAAATAAAACTGAAACTTGAAGATTTGATTAATGTGCGGAAAATGACTCTCAAACTCACTGTCTTGGAGCTACACTGGACTTGCCATCATGCCAGTGCTGTAGTATCCCAGACCTCCCTCACTTGTCTGATTATTGTTGAAGTAATAACACAACTCATTGCAAAAACAGTTATAGATTCTATCATAAACTGCTGAAGGCAAAACAACACCAGTAATAACTTTTTAGTGCTGCAATAGGCCATTTATGAAAAGATCCAGTGAACATAGTTCACAGGAGCTAATGCACACAACCGGATATGTTATATTGGCGGGGGATATGAGTATTTCATGCTTGTTTATGCCCACCATATTCCTATGGTTTGGCGTAATCATCCTTCAGGCTTACGAGATCGCCAAACTGGATCCGCCGAGAGCGAATTACCATCACGAGATCAGGACGTGTAACCTCTACCATGGCTTTACACATCAATTGTTTTATTAGAACAATCATTGAAGGATGTTATTTTAGGTCCGACACAGTTTTTGCTAGTCATTATTTCTCGATGATGCATTCGATGACGTCGAAAGCGTTGGCATGACTACCAGTAGAGTCCCTCTGGTTTTAACCAAACAGGTTACCAACCTCCGACGCAAATATTGAACTCGCCCTAAACCGAGCCAGTCTACTTCCTTGTGCAATCGCTGAGTGTCCAGCAGTGGAAGAATATTAGACATTCTTGTTTGTCAACGCCGGCTCTATTGTATATTAAGCTGATGAGCTATTGTTTTCTTTATTTCTAAATCTGCATAGGAAATGACTCTTTAATTGTTATGTTCAATATGTTCTCGTTTAGACTTTTGAACAACCCTACCGTAATGGCGATTTTTTTTGTTAACTTTTCCGCTTCACGGTTTATCGACAAACTGGTGTTGTATGTCAGGGTGTGAATTATTTAGGTTTCTGTATTGTGAAGGTTTACAATCCTCCAAGTCGTCCGGTACAAATGCACTAAGGAGTAATGCAGGATCAGTGAAAACATGAGTAAAATCTAAATATGTTTACATTTGTATACTGCATTACTACATTTAAGGACCCGCCCGTCGCAGACTTGCATTCCCACTTTTGCTTCAGAAACCTCAAAAGTATGTTTTTCTAAGAGCCCTGTCGACAGGCAGTGATGTGAAGAAGGTGGAACTTCAAAATAACAACTTTATTTCTCAACCAGGACCATCGCTGTTGCGCTGTCCTTGTTGTCGTAAGGTAAGCATTGAATGCATTAAGGAGTAATTGACGATAAGTATACAAATGTAAAAAATATTTAGATTTTAACAAGATTTTAACAAGATTATTACAAACATATCAATATCAACGAAATTGTTAATACATGTTATCCATTACAAGATAGAGGGCATTTTCATTGCAGGTGATCTCAGCTGTAGGGACGTTATTCTCATCACTGCCTTTGCCACGTCACAGCGCTTCACTCCAGATTGTGTGTCACGCTTTAAGCACATAGACAGCCTCCTTGTAACATCTGGACATCTTGATACAACAGTCAACAAGTCTACATTTAAAAGACTTGGAGATGTGCTTGGGAAAGATTATGGATTTAAGGTAGATATGAGTCACAAATCAACTACGATTAAATAAAGATACCACAGAAACAAACCGTCACTGTGTATGTTTTAGTTTACTGCAATTGCTTTTAATACGATTGTTGTGTCCATTATATTAGCGGAAGTCTGATGATCAACCACAGCTACGAAGGGTCGTGGAATCAGTACATCTTTGTGAAGGTATAGGTAAATATTCTTTGATATTCGTGTGCTTCTGTTTGTTTGTTTGTTTTGTTTGTTGTTTAACGCTGCATTCAGCAATATTCCAGCTATTTGACCGCGGTCTGTGAAAATCGAGTCTGGACCAGACAATACAGTTATTGACATCATGAGCATCAATCAAAGCAATTTGGATACGATGACATGCATCAACCAAGTCAGCGAGGCTGACCATGTGATCCCGTTAATCGCCTTTTACGACAAGCATAGTCGCCTTATACGGCAAGCATTGGTTGCTAAAGAACTATTCTACCCCGGATGATCCAGGGTTGATATTCATGTGCACTTCAAATTGAGTAAGAGTTGTTCTGATATAGTAATCAAAATAAACATTGTTCTCACACTGTTTCGCCACCCCATGTCAATCGATTGGATGTTTTATTCAATGATGAGATTGAGCACACAATGCACATATCCTTTTCAGATATAGAAACGAAAAAGAATCACTGCTATACACGTGATGCCAAAAGCCAAGAATTCACTGATAACTCAAATGGAAATGATGCCAACAGCCAAGAGGACAAAGGGGACTCTACTGGTAGTCATGCCAACAGCCTAAGGGACAAAGAGGACTCTACTGGCAGTCATGCCAAGAGCGGGGTGGAAAAAGGGAACTCAACTGGTAGTAATGTCAACAGCTTAGAGGACAAAGAGGACTCTACTGGTAGTCATGCCACCAGCCTAGAGGACGAAGACGATTATACTGGCAGTCATGCCAACAGCCAAGTGGACAAAGGGAATTCTACTGGTAGTCATGCCAACAGCCAAGTGGACAAAGGGAATTCTACTGGTTCTCATGCCAACAACCAAGTGGACGAAGCGAATTCTACTGGCAGTCATGCTAACAGCCAAGAGGACAGAGGGAATTCTACTAGTAGTCATGCCAACATCCAAGTGGACAAAGGGAACTCTACTGGTAGTCATGCCAACAGTCAAGTGGACAAAGGGAATTCTACTGGTTCTCATGCCCACAACCAAGTGGACAAAGGGAACTCTACTGGTAGTCATGCCAACAGCCAAGTGGACAAATGGGATTCTACTGGCAGTCATGCCAACAGCCATGTGGACAAAGGGAGCTCTACTGGTAGTCATGCCAACAGCCTTGTGGACAAAGGGAGCTCTACTGGTAGTCATGCCACCAGCCTAGAGGACAAAGACGACTATACTGGCAGTCATGCCAACAGCCAGGTGGACAAAGGGAATTCTACTGGTAGTCATGCCAACGGCAAAGTGGACAAAGGGAACTCTACTGGTAGTCATGTGGACACGGGAAGTAAATGCAACCTATATCTCCATGAAATACGTAAGTGTTCAGGAACAATTCCTATCTACAGTATACACTGGCGGTAATCGTCCAGAGTTACGTATTTCAAGTTTAATAAAGTAATATCACGTCGCATGTAATTAAATGTGCAGCAGTAATTATCCCGAGGGGTACATTTTCTGAATATAGATTCACGACTATATAAAACCTCGCCGCTGGGTTGTTTCAGAAATGTTACGGAGTATACAGGAAGGTATTGACAAAGAGACGGCAGTTTTACAAGGGAATGTGTTGCCACCAGGGAAACTACTTAGAATACTTGATGAGGTCCTGCAAAGCCTGGACCAGGAACAAGAGGTAATAGTAATTCTTGTACAGAATACGTTTCTTCATTAAACCATATCTGTTAGTTTGTGCATGCTAAAGATAGATGTTTTCTCCTCTGAAATATTGTACTCTTTTCTCTTAATTCTGCATCCTATGGACATGACCAGTTTAGATTGTGGATTTGATGGTCATACTCTGTGAATCGGCTGGCTTTATGTCATCTGGATGGCATACAACATTGATCACGGGTTCAGTTACTTGTTCATCTTATCGATGAAACTGAATGGAAAAGGGTGACTTGGCGATAACCAACTACATTCCTTCACTGTGGTAATAATATTTGTTGTGTCAGTTCTCAGTTTTCTGATAGTAACACCACAGCTATTCTTGACTCACCAAAAACAGCTGATGAAGTGATAGTGGGCGAGTGAGTTGGGTTTTAACAGTATTCCAGTTACTAGTATATCGCGGCGTGTCAGCTTAATGTAGAAAAAAGTGATGCGGGTCTCAGATGTTTACCACTTCGGTGAAACCCATAAGCACAGTTTTGGTGCTGTGGTTTCTGGCGTGCCCAAGGGACGCAACTTTGCACAGCGAATCGCGACGCCTTAGACGACTGGGCCAACTGTTTCACCAGTTATTTTCTGACGATACTTTTTTATGTAACACCATATGTGAGCTTCAGAAGTGTGGAATACAGCTTTTCTTTAAATTTAGACAAAACAAAAATCGTAGTTTTTAGAAATGGTGGAATGCTTTCAAAACGTGCAAAATGGTATCTCGGGGGTAATTTAATTGATTGTGTATCCTCATATAAATATTTTGGAATTATTCTAACAAAGTTTGTCCTGGCATAAACACTTTCACAACTCTATTGTACAATAAAAAAAGACCCCATTAGCTATCTTAAAATCTTTGTCAAAACTACAACCTATTCCGTGCAATACTTTTTCAGAATCTTTGATTCTAAATTCCTATGCCAGTCCTGTTTTAATAGCCGAGGTGTGGGGTCTTGATTGTGAGATCGGTTCTCCTAATCAGAAAATTCCCACTTTAGCGTCTAAATATTTACTCGGCGTTAATGATATATGAATAAGCCTAGAAGGCTCAGACTATGTGAAATGTGTTTCTTTGGATACAAAGTTAACGGATACTATGTCATATTGATATGAACTGCTCATGATACCTACGTAAAATTTATATTCCTGATAAATTTTGTACATGTCCATACCAGTAGAAATTTATAATATTAATGTCTATCACCAATGTGATCTTCGCTCTTGCAGACAAAGAACTGTAATATGGGCCGATGGCTTACATACAGCTGAATAAACAAATAAGAGAATAAGAAGAGGTCTGGGATTCGATTACTTGTCATACGAAATATACTGCTACTCTGCTATACTGAAACAGACGTTCCATAAAATCAATTATTTTTCATATTTTTCAGTCTGCAGTGGTTTCGGAGATGCAGGGCAAATGTAGGTTTCTAAGGATATGTCCAATCAGACAGATATTTTACAAGCGTAATGTAATAGTTTCCTTATGATAAAGCGTGTGTATATTCTTCATCGGTGTGTAAGTGAACAAAATCTTTACTGTTGTAAATCCGCCTTTCTATTTAACGATATTGGTATTATTAAAACGTAATAAATGAAGACCATGAATGAATTATTAGAGCAAGTGCAGAGCAACATAAATAAAATTCATTTTCTTTACGTCATCTCATGTGATCCTTACAGATTCAATTTTTATCACAAATGGTGTGATAATGATTAAAAATTCTCGACAGCTCAACCTCTTCTTGGAGACGATATGGCCAGCAAGATAGAGAATCAACTTAGGATGGATAAAGGATCACTTAATAAGATCATACAAGCTCTCCTAAAGGTACCATTCATGTCAGTGAGATACTTTCCTTATCGTACACACTTCCGATCAAATACTAAATTAATAGTGCAACTAAGGATAATCTTTTACTACAAATGCATAGCAGGCGTGTCATGTAACAAACAAACAAATTTCCGGGGTCGGGTCACCTTCCAAGAAAAGTACACGTTCTAGTACTTTTGGGGTTGAGTCCCGTCCGGGATTCGAACCCACAATCTCAGAGCAATACTCCTAATAGCCAGGACACAATGTCAGCGGTCTAACCCACTCAGCCCCCGAGGCTTCCACAAGAAAACTGGTAGTCAAGATCACTTACTTCGTGTACCTCTCTGAGTGTAAAGTGTAAATTGGCATGGCTTCCATGGCCGAAAAGTTATATACACACACTGCATTTTAGAAAGTGGTCAAATTTAACAAATGTTACTTGGGGGATTACACTTTTTTAGTAAAGTACACATTCTGTGTTTGCTGGTCAATTCCAAAATAGCATGAGAGCTTGTACTCTACGGAGAGTGTAATCAAAAATATAACATTCGTTACATTTTGACACTTTCTAAAAGGCATTGTGTATACAGGGATTTTCCACTACTACCTTTATTTTCAGTCATATGTGGAAAAGACAAACAAACAATGCACACATGATCATAAAGGCAATTCAATGTGTAGTGATGTAAAGAGACAAGAGGACAAAGGCAACTCTAGTGGAAGTGATGCCAAGAGCCAAGGTGACAACATCACTGGTGTCACAGTCAGACATCATGGTGGAGATGAACCTGCTGTTTCTCATGATCACACGCCCAACACCTCCAGGACAGATGTGCCACCAATGGGAGCAGAGAGGCAGGTTCGTGTGTGATTGCTGCTTGAAGAAACGTTACAACTATATATATATATATATGGTGACGCTCGGGTCACACAAAGTTTGATCATGTTTTCATCTCCTATGTAAAGCATGTCTTCCCCTGGATAACATATGGGGTATAGTATTCTTCCAAGCTCGTCAATCATGAGTTATTAAATCATATATACATCTTATAAGATGACAGAATATAACCAAGCATGTTTATTAAAGCATATTACATGTATTACATTCTCCTTTCTGGTATAATCTTGCATGTGTGCAGTTCCTGTTTCCCTTTTCTAGGAGTCAGGAAGTAAAACTTGCAGTCCTCTACATTCTGGACCTAGATGCGACCAAAAGCTCGGTAACATGAACAGGAACTTTGAAATCCTAATAAACCTGGGTCTCTGTAATCATATTTCCAGATCACATTGTATGAATGTAAATATTCTCAATAGTAATTACCCTAAAGGTTCAGTTCCAGAGTACAGATGCGTCACTGAATCAAACATCTCTGTGGGATATTTCAGACTTGTTACGGACTATACGGGAAGAAATGAAGACAAAGTCAACTGATTTACAAAGAGCGGTGGAGAAAAAGTGTAAGTTGCCACCAGGTATACTACCGGACGTACTTGATGAGGTGCTGAAATGTCAACAGAACCAGGCACCAAAGGTAACACCTGTGACAAAGGATGTAGTACTACTTTTCATCAACTATATCTTTTAGAATGTGCATGTCAAACCTAAATATTTCTTCCTCTGAAATATTGCAGATTTAAAACTTGCTTCTTAATTAATCTTCTGCCAAATAAGCTGTTTGTTTAGTTAGTGAGTGAGTTTGGTTTTACGCCAGTTTTAGCAATATTCCAGCAATATCACACAAGCAATGAGCTTCACACATAGTACTTATCTGGGGAATCGAATCCGCGTCTCCGGTGTGACGAGCGAACGCTTTAACCACTAGGCACCGTCCCGTTTGTTTAGTCAAGATTAGTAGAATTATGACAAATGATCCATGTCGTAACCAATCATGACATTGAATCAAAACAATCTATAACATGCAATATCAATATATCTGCATCTGTTCAAATGAGTTTTGTGTCTCTTTCCGATAAAACTGGCAAGTGTCTTATGTATTTTGACATTGCATATACAGTTGTCAGTTGACCTTTGGGAATGGAAAGCATGGTTGTGTGTTGGCGCGCAGAATGCCTGTCTTGTTATACAAAATATGCTGCTACTCTGTGTATATTTAAACAAACGTTTTACCATATCACAAGATAACGTTTATCTATTTTTCAGGCTGCAGGATTGTCAGAAACAAGGGGAAGATGTAAGTTTTTTAGGGTAGTTTTCTAATTAGAGAAGTAACCACAGAAATAATGTCGGGAGAAACGAAGTGAACGTATTCGACCCGATGTTCTCGTATCTACATGATGAGTGTTATGGAAACATTCAATGAATCTTTAAGATGCATCATTAGTTGGAAAATCTTACTCTTGAAAATCAGTGTGAAAAAAACATGTCACATACGTTTCAAGAAAGATGTACTGACGCGTTTAGTAATGTTCAAATAACGATTATGAGATACTGTAAGCAACCACAATAACATTTGATTCTTTTACAGTGTCATAATGTGTAAGATTTAATACTTACGTCCTAGTAGTCAGTGTGTCTTATGTGCAAAAAGAATGTGATAATGAGTGAAATTCTTGGCAGCCCCACCTCTACTCGGAGACGATATGGCCAGCAGGATAGAGAACAAACTGGTGCTGAAAACAGGATCACTTCATGAGAGCATAGACGCCGTCCTGAAGGTACAGTCCTTTATGTGTATTAATGTCGACTACGGATCGCTTTGCTACAGGACGCCATACTGTGCGGCAATAGTCTACAAACACGTACTATTTCTTGCACCACTGGTTTGTCTTTCACGCCCAGTGGAGTCTGTGTCGGCAGATAATCGGGACTGATATTTCTATGGGATTGATTGATACATCATTGTAATGCTATGTCCCCAAAAAATTCACATTAAACTTATATTTACCTTTCTTGTTTCAGAGAAACAGAACACATAGAAATGAGCTCCTTGTTTTTCATAGACTATTTTGTGATATGGGTGAACGGCTGCAGCCACGTGTGAACTGTTTTGTTAATGCTTTCAGTTCAGCCCAAAGAAGAAGTGGTGGCAGTTCTGGAATTCAGATGACGCCTCCACATGAGCAGACTGTGGGAACTGATGGGTGTGAGTGTTGGCCAGAGGAAACACAATGGATGTTTCAGAATTTGCGTTCAAACAATAAACAGAAACAACTTAACCATGTTACCGGCAAATTTTAGAGACATGTTCAGCAAGTTCGGCAAATGTTATATGTCGAGTCAGCAAGTTTTCACCATGTCAGACCGAGTAACTGAGTCTGGGATTAGCAAGCAGTCATATACGAGGTATTGTAATTCATGAAATCAGCTGTGAGCATTGATGCACAGATCCTTAAGAAATCAAATGATACAACATTAATCTGCTTGTGTTGCACTTCGTGTTTAAAACATATTAGATTAAAAGATGAATTTGATTAAATGTGAGTTCCTAACATTCGCCTTATACTAATATTTCTTGTATATGTGCGAGGTTCGGTAAAGACAAGAGAAATGTGCATGATGATTAGCATGCAGCGTTTAGAGGATAAACTGTATATTACTGTTCTTGGCATGTTTCATTGTATTTTGTATATACATAAGTTCTATATGCTTTAAGTTCTATGCCGTTTCATATATATATCTCCATGTAAGAAATTAAACTTTTTAATCTCAATTGTGCTTTCATTTTCTTCTTTAAGGCTTGTATGTTAAATGTCAAGTGGTGGAATGTGTCTTGTCAGTCTTGGTGTACACTTTAATCAGTTTTTCATATCAAGTAAAACATAATCTCTCACATGACCGCACATCAAACCAACGAGCACGGGTGTGCAAATCACACCCAAAGCATAATAACCAGCTACACCCACTAATCCCAAAACAGCGGATCCTGGTACTACCAAATAATACTTTTATTACAGGGCAAACAATTGAGTTCAGTGCATTTAAAAATCAGAAAAATATGAATACTTCTCACTGTCTACCATTGAGATCAAGGAGTGAAGACAGTAAGTGTGAACTAGAAACGTATTCCTGGTATGTAGTTTGCGGCATAATTTACAATAATGTTGCCACTGAAGAACAACTGAGTACATATATTGTAAGAGAGTGAGTGATTTGTGTTTAACGCCGCTTTTAACAATATTCCAGTCATATCACGACGTGTCGGCTTAAAGTGGGAGGGAAGCCCGAAGTGATGCAGGTTTATGGCGTTTACCACCTCGGTGAAACCCAAGAGCACGGGTATGGTGCTGAATAACGTAGACACATCATCGGGGCGAACCGGGATTCGAACCCACAGTCATAGATTTCTGGCGTGCCCACGGGACGCAACTCTGCACAGAGAACCGTGGCGCCTTACACGACTGGGCCACCCGTGTCCCAGATTTTGTTCTGAAGTCAATATAAAATTTACTCGCTACACAAATGTATCTCCCAAACAGCCTTCTTAATTAACTATGGACTATATTAGATACAAACTATGTAATATATCCATCAAAAACTCTCCCCCATGTTGAGTTCTAGGGAATGATTATGAAACGTATCCACACAAATCTGGCCTTCTAAATGTGTTGCATCATGTTGTAAAATGAGTGTGTGTGCTGCAATCAGAATCTTTGGCGTGCAATACAAAGATAGGGGTATATTTTGGTATTTGCAAGTTAAACCTCGGGCTTACAATATGTTATGAATCCTTCATCCTTTCCTGAGTATGTCATGCGGATAATAAGAAAAGATCCGGTTCTCCAGAACTGATTTCTTACTTAAATTAAATTGTAAGCGAAAAGTAAGCATCAATTATGATTGTGTATTACAAATTATCTGGGATAATAAATGAGAGGTTAATCAACATGCTAATTGTGGGCTACACGATTCCTCTTGAAGAGAACGGACAGTTTCAGATTTAAGCACAGAGAGCGTCAGAGTAAGGTTTTAGATCATGAACAGATGAAGGGAAATAACTTTTGGCAACCTCTCGGGTTCAACAAGCATCAGTGCAGTACAGGGAACATGAAACCTGTCAGTGTGTCAAATATTTAGGGATAACAAATGCAACTTGTTAACTGGCCTGAGCTCGCCGAGATCTTTTACAAACTAATACCCTTAATCATATGTATCAACTGTTTGTGCAAAGTGTCAAGTCATCCCTCTTGCCAAAGTGAGTAAGTATGGTTTTATGCCACGTTTACCAATATTCCAGCAATATCAAATGGGCTATTGCACCTATGTGGGGAATCGAACCCGGGTCTTCAGCGTGATGAGCTAATGCTTTAACCACTTTGCTACCCACCGCTGGACAATTTTGTATCACTCTTTATGCATAGATCTAAAATCAAAATGATTAGCTGCTCTCACTGGTGTCTTATATTTCTATTTGGATAAATCAGTGGAACAGAATGGGCTATTTGACTGTTATTGAGCAATATCAGATCATCAATATACCTTATATTACATTATTGTGATTCTGAAGAGGCTCGTAGCATTATGTTTTGATGCTTCGTAGTTGTCAGAAATGTAGAATACCCAAATCCGGGGTAGAACAGATCTTAGGCAACCCATGCTTGCCGTAAAAGCGACTTTGCTTGTTGTAAAGAGGCAAGAAACGGGATCGGGTGTCCAGGCTCGCTGACTTGTTTGATGCATGCCAAGTTCTTTGGTTAAATAATTATTGCAGTGATGCCCACAAATTAAGGTTATGCTATCTAAGGTGTTTGGTTTAAATAAGATATGATATACCTGCAATTCTAAAATAAAATGTTTGTACACATATTAATACAACAGTTACTATTTAATGGCTTTCTGCCAGTATACAAAATATTGTATCTGCTACATTCCTGTTCACTAGGAATATTGCAATAAGCAGCAAACAAACAGAACTAACACTTGTGAAAGTAGCCATGCATGACACAGTATCGCCAAAAGAAGTGTGACTGAAGGAGTAGTCTCCCTTGCACTGTGCGTGTCCTGACAGTGAGCCTCTTCCACCTCACTGCTGTGATGATGTTGATGTGAGTGAACGAGTAATCTCCATTGCACTGTGCGTGTCCTGACAGTGAGCCTCTTCAACCTCACTGCTGTGAAGATGTTTGTGTGACTGAAGGAGTAGTCTCCCTTGCACTGTGCGTGTCCTGACAGTGATCCTCTCCCACCTCACTACTGTGATGATGTTGGTGTGACTGAAGGAGCAGTCTCCCTTGCACTGTGCGTGTCCTGACAGTTAGGCTCTTCCACCTCACTTGTGTGGTGATGTTGGTGTGACTGAAGGAGCAGTCTCCCTTGCACTGTGCATGTCCTGACATTGAGCCTCTTCAACCTCACTGCTGTGATGATGTTTGTGTGACTGAAGGAGAAGTCTCCCTTGCACTGTGCATGACCTGACATTGAGCCTCTTCAACCTCACTGCTGTGATGATGTTGGTGTGACTGAAGGAGTAGTCTCCCTTGCACTGTGCGTGACCTGACAGTGAGCCTCTTCCATCTCAATGGTGTGGTGATGTTTGTGTGACTGAAGCAGTAGTCTCCCTTGCACTGTACGTGTCCTTACAGTAAGCCTCTTCAGGCTCACTGCTATGATGATGTTGGTGTGACTGAAGGAGTAGTCTCCCTTGCACTCTGCGTGACCTGACAGTGAACCTCTTCCACCTCACTGCTGTGATGATGTTGGTATGACTGAAGGAGTAGTCTCCCTTGCACTGTGCGTGTCCTGACAGTGAGCCTCTTCCACCTCACTGCTGTGATGATGTTGGTATGACTGAAGGAGTAGTCTCCCTTGCACTGTGCGTGTCCTGACAGTGAACCTCTTCCACCCCACTGCTGTGATGATGTTGGTATGACTGAAGGAGAAGAACCCTTGCACTGTGCTTGTCCTGACAGTGAGCCTCTTCTACCTCACTGCTGTGATGATGTTTGTGTGACTGAAGGAGTAGTCTCCCTTGCACTGTGCGTGTCCTGACAGTGAACCTCTTCCACCCCACTGCTGTGATGATGTTGGTATGACTGAAGGAGTAGTCACCCTTGCACTGTGCTTGTCCTGACAGTGAGCCTCTTCTACCTCACTGCTGTGATGATGTTTGTGTGACTGAAGGAGTAGTCTCCATTGCACTGTGCGTGTCCTGACAGTGAGCCTCTTTCACCTCACTGCTATGATGATGTTTGTGTGACTGAATGAGTAGTCTCCCTTGCACTGTGCAAGACCTGACATTGAGCCTCTTCCATCTTACTGGTGTGGTGATGTTGGTGTGACTGAAGGAGTAGTCTCCCTTGCACTGTGCTTGTCCTGACAGTGAGCCTCTTCCACCTCACTGCTGTGATGATGTTGGTGTGACTGAAGGAGAAGTCTCCCTTGCACTGTGCTTGTCCTGACAGTGAGCCTCTTCTACCTCACGGCTACGATGTTTGTGTGACTGAAGGAGTAGTCTCCCTTGCACTGTGCGTGTCCTGACAGTGAGCCTCTTCCACCTCACGGCTACGATGTTTGTGTGACTGAAGGAGTAGTCGACCTTGCACTGTGCGTGTCCTGATAGTGAGCCTCTTCCCCCTCACTGCTGTGATGATGTTGGTGTGACTGAAGGAGTAGTCTCCCTTGCACTGTCCGTGTCCTGACAGTGAGCCTCTTCCACCTCACTGGTGTGGTGATGTTGGTGTGGCTATTGGAGTAGTCTCCCTTGCACTGTGCGTCTCCTGATAGTGAGCCTCTTCCACCTTACTGCTGTGATGATGTTGGTGTGACTGAAGGAGTAGTCTCCCTTCCACTGTGCGTCTCCTGATAGTGAGCCTCTTCTCCCTCTCTGCTGTGATGATGTTGGTGTGACTGAAGGAGTAGTCTCCCTTGCACTATGCGTGTCCTGATAGTGAGCCTATTCCCCCTCACTGCTGTGATGATGTTGGTGTGACTGAAGGAGTAGTCTCCCTTGCACTGTGCGTCTCCTGACAGTGAACCTCTTCCACCTCACTGGTGTGGTGATGTTGGTGTGGCTTTTGGAGTAGTCTCCCTTGCACTGTACGTGTCCTGACAGTGAGTCTCTTCCCCCTTACTGCTGTGATGATGTTGGTGTGACTGAAGGAGTAGTCTCCCTTGCACTGTGCGTATCTTGACAGTGAACCTCTTCCACCTCACTGATGCGATGTTGGTGTGACTGAAGTAGTAGTCTCCCTTGCACTGTATGTGTCCTGACAACAATTATATTATAAAAAGATCAAAATCCATTCCTTATTTGAAAACTAAGATTATGGCCGTCCCAGTTGACATTGAGGAATTCCCTAAAGTAGCTCCATGTTTCTGCTCGATTGACAGCGTAATTAAATGACTTACTGACGTTCATCGCGAAATGAACAGCAGTCAGCTTGGCAGTGTTCACCTAGATGAGGGCATCCGCTACTGTTGATATAAACTCATGGTGTATTTTGAATTTAATGTATCATTAGGATTCTGGTGTTAGTGTTGAAAAGAACCCGTAAACGTATTGGGCATTTGTGTGTTTCCTTAGTCTCATAGCATGTCAGTTATTTGATACATATAATCGTGTCATACGAAACTGGAGACAACAGAGACGGTGAGCACTGAGTTTGTCGCCTGTACTTGTTTTTGCTTAAAACATCTAACTG